AACTTGACATCCACCTGCTTTTATCCTTCCAACCTTTTCTTCCTCATGAAAGAAAAAGCTTTTGTAATGCTTTATATTAAGGTCCTTGTAATAACCATTAGTTAATAAGTAATAAGACCTTTATAAGTGCCTACTAGATGGTAATTAATATCATTATGTGTTTATAACACTATCTATGCATTATTAGACATTTATAATAACTTATAAGAAAGTTTTACCAAAGCTTTTAATACACAATGCTTACCTAGTTGTATGTGGAGAGGATGAAAAGTCTGTAGCTTGCTTACTTTCTCTTATACAGCCTCACTGTGCGTGGGCCATTTACTGTGAGGAACATCTGTTGTTTCAATGTCATACACCCACAAAAATCACTATTATGATTGCAGGGGATTTAACTCCAGGATGACAGGTGGTAATTCTTGCTTAATACTTTTTCTTGTTTTAAATCGGAGCATATTCATGAAACATTTACAACATGTGACATCTGACAGCCCTTAGTTCCCTTAATAAATGATGTCAGTATCATCAAACAAGCCTGGAAGGAAGAGGGAATGTGGTGCACTAAACAGAGAGAAGAAGACAATCCCCAACGTCTAATTCTGTGTAATAATGCTCAACTAGGTGTGTAAAAAGATAAAAATATATAATGTAAAAGTTTGATTCAGGTGGGGATAAAAGTAGAAATCTACAGAATACAGAGCTTGTTTCATCAATTTGTGGAGCTGAAAGATGTCAGAAGGTAATCGCACCTGAAAACACAATTTTCCATTGATGGTGTTTTTATACATTCTTTTTGTCTTTTGAGTTTTTTTTAGAGGTTTAGATTTGTATTTCTCTTTTCAAACAAAGGCTGAAAGAGCCAAGTTTTAAATTATGCGGCAGCACGGCACAATCGATGGATGATAAATCGTGGAACAGACCGTGGATGACTCTGAGTAAAAAGAGCACTACTTGTGTGGGTGCAGATACATGCACTTGTGCATCTGTCTAATGTAAAGTTCTATTTAATTCTTCTGCTGTTTCTCAGATGTTTGGCTGTTTATTATCGTCTGATCTCTGTATATTTGCAGTTATCTCGAAGTCTTCGTTTTTTTTTGTGTAATTTGCTTTGTTAGTCTACCACTTGCTCACAATTGAGATAACAGCAAATACTGAACCATAAAAGAGATGGAAGCCTTGCTTTGCGACAAGTTAAATTCAAAATGTAACAATAAACCTGCCACAGCTGGAACCAACGTCGCATTTAAGTTTGAGGATGAGAGTTTATTTAAAACAAAATGATCCCTGTAGTCCAACTCTTTCTTAAAAAAAAAAAAAAAAAACATTCTTTTGCATTTCGATTGATTGTTTTAGCATTTAAAAGAGAGATGAAGTAAAAACTTAACACTGGATTCAGTTTTGTCAAACATTATGTCATCTACAAATGAGTGCAACAATTATTAATACATTTAGCTAATTTGCAAATCGAGTAAGACTATCAATACCTATAACACTGCTTTATTTATATAAAGTTCATCAGTGAACATAAAGCATTGTTGAGACAGGGACAACTCTTTGACAAGTTTGTTAGCTTAAACATAAATAGACGTGGCACTTTACATATTTCTATTTGTAAAAGAAAATGTACAACAGGCTTATAGTCCTTTATCTTTACAAAGATGCACAATTTTTAATGGCGTCTCCAATAAAATTCTTATAATTATACTTAAAGTGATCCTACTGTGACAATATGTTCAACAGTTCAATGGGTGTGCTTATTTTTGAAAAGCATCTTAAGTAAAATAAGAAAGTGATCAGAATCATCATTTTACTGCCTTCTTAACAGAACTCTAATGATTGTTTTATTAAGGGATCCAAGGAAACTCCAGAACCTGATTGCAAAATCAGATCAATTGGTCTTCCCTTAAAAAATGATGTGAAACTGTTTTTCTCAAAAGAAAACTAGGACGGGGCTTTTTTCGACTGGATACCATGCTTACATATACATTTTGGGTAAGACAGACTGTGGGGCCTCTTGAGGACTTGAAAAGTGGCATATGGAGCATACTTTCCCTCAAGTCCCAGATAATTCAAAAAGTCAAGCTCTTGTGTGCTTGGAGACCTTTCTGCTTGTCCTCTGTTCTGTCCCTGGAAGAATTCTGAGTAAGTCTTCATCGCTTCCTTGCAAAAATGATTATGTATCCACCCCTCAGTATAAAGATTAAAAGAGAAATGTGACTTTCAGCCTGCTGAGGTGAAAGTAATGTGTATTTTATATAGATATATAATAAAAAAAGCGTTTTTGTGAGTGTATCACTAAATGTGTGTTTTAGCACTTTGAGCCTCTTCGACAGCAAAGCTGTGCTGGTCTAGTTTAACGCTGCCATTTCATGCCCTCTCTGGATTGCTGCAGATAGAGTTCTGCACCAGCAAGAGGGCAGAGATTATGTGTGTGTTTGTGCATGAGTGTTTTGTGACTGTGTGTCTAAACGTGTGCTGCGGGGCAAAATGCAAGATGATAGCAATGGAGAGGAGAGAAAAAAAATCAATGTAGGGGCATTTTGAAAGCCTCTGGAGATATATGTACACACACAAACACACACACTCCCACACACACACACACACACACACACCGCAGCTGTGACAGGCTAAATAGTTGCTGTCTTTGTGTTTTGTGTACGGTGTAAAAGAAATTACACCAAATTGTCATAGCCGTTTCTTACTGTCTATATATATATATATATATATATATATAGTCATTTGGTGAAAACGTTTCAGGCTAACCTTAAGCAGATGATCTGAAAAATCTGTATCTATTACAACATTAGCTTTGCACAAATTTCCCACATTGTCATGGTCCGCAACCAACCCTGACCCAAATGCTCAGATCCTCATGAATCAGAAAAAAAGATGCAATTAACCGTTAATCGACTTCCCTGCTGTGCCAGAACACAGCCTCACAATGCAGCTCTGCAATTAATAAAAAAAAAGGCTTTGAACCCCTGAAGAGAACGGTTCCACTATGGGTTTTAGGGAATTCCATCTAAACCAGTGAAACAAATCACAGGAGCTCACTATGTGGTATATCCACCACATGTCTCAGGAAGGATTTAAAGGTTTGTGTCTGAAAGTCCACAGGAATTACTATGTCAGTTTTATTAAATGATAAAACCTACATTAAATAAGTCAAAACTTAAAAGATACCTTCAAGTATATAACTATTATTGTGCAATGTTTTCATAAAAATGTTCTATGATGGGTTTACTGTGTCTGATTATGTTATCGGTAAGTGGGACAACTTATTGTTTTCTTTAAACAACAGCCATTTTCTTGCTTGCCTTCCATAAAGGCCAAATTTGTGAATCTAATAGCTGTCCCTTTAACAGATTCTCCCATCCAAGCCGTGGATATCTGCAGCTTCTCCAGAGTTACTTCCCTGAAGAATGATCTTGTTATCAGACCTTTCACTTTGGATGTAGTGCCACGGTTTGGTATCTTTGCTGCTTCAATTTCAGATGATGGATGACAGTATTTGCTAAGATGCTTAGTGCTTCACTCAGATTTTTAGTTTTATTTACCTGTTCCCACTGTATCTGTATTGAGGTTAAATCACAGATTTTTGGAGGTATTCGATTGCACTGGATTTGTTAATAAACTAGATGTAGAGGGGATCATCAGATATGTACAAATAATCACAGACCTCCAATTGTAAGAAAAAAAAATCCCTTATCAAGGATATGCCCCACCTGCTGCCCAATGGCTAATTTTAAAAAGGTAGCAGTGATTTTGCAAGAAAAAGTCAATATAGAAAACATGATTTGTTGTTTAATTTCCTTTTCTATCATTATTTGTTCAGAACAGATTTCTGCTTCTGTCTTTCTGCACTGAAACTGCAAATAAGGTATTTTCTTTTCAGTTGCGTATTGATATAAGATTGGGATTTCTAATTTTCTGTTACCTGTTCTTTGCCTCTTTAGCCAAGCATTAATTTTGTGAATTTTTCTGCTGAAACAAGTATAGATGCCAGTTTAAGAAAGCTATATTCTTTATATATTTCTTAAATATACTAAAGCATTGGACCAGCGCCAGAAAGCAATTTGATAGATGCAGTAGGTTTCCCAACCCAGAAAGAGATTATTTTGGAAAAATAAAATAAAATCAGGAGAGTTCATTCTCAGTACATGAAGTGAAATTCTGCAAAATATCCTTTTATTTGTAATAGTTAGAAACTTGTTGAAAAGATTCCTGCAAGTAATTCCTTTGGGCTATATGCTCGTGGTAGCCTTAGCTCATAAAAACTACAGCATGTCAAAAACAAGAGAATACAAAACCTTTAGTCTTGTTAATGTTACATTAAGCCTGAGAGAATGCTTACCTAGTGATAATAAAAAGAAAAAACAACTTGTAACACTACAGATGCTTGCTGTTTGAAACTACTTTTCTCTCCTTGAGGTGTTATGCACCCATTTCACACCAAGACACAAAGAATTAAGAGAAAGAAGCAATTCAATAATAGTGTGTGACTGCAGTGTACGTGGATGTCTGCATGTGTGGTGTGATTTTTTTCCCTCCTGAACATTAAAATGCTTTTTTTTCAACATAAAAATGTGTTTTGGTGAAGGAAAAAAAGGAAAGACGAGAGACAGAGGGGAAGTGTGGATGTATGAACAAGGGTTTCTGTTATGTCATCCCTGAAAATGGGTGATTTGGTTAAACAGCGGTTTATAATGGACATAATTATTGTGCACACCAATTACCTTAAATAAATGATTGCTCTCTCCCGCAATCACACAAAGCGTGTGCTATAATCAGCAAGGCAAATGGCTGTTCCTAGGGTATGTGCGTGTGTGCTTGCATAAGCCTTTATGTTAGTGAGAGTGTAAGATGGGGTACAGAACACCAAACACTGTCAGAATGGCGCACTTGGTTGGGTAAAAATTCAACTTAAGGATGTAGAAGGAGAAAGGTAAACACAAAGAAAAAGCTCTCCTGCACTCACGAGCATCTCAAAAGCATCTTACACTTGAGCTCCAGGCGGATGAAGTCAGTGTTGCCCAGATTTTCCAGAAAGACGCCGTAGGGAGCACTCGTCTTGAAATAGAAGGAGATGTCAGCGCTGGTCTCTCCCTGAAAGGTGGCGAAATGCAGGTAGGATGACGGGGTGGTGAATGATGCCGCATTCCAGTAGTTATCTGGAGGGAAGGAAAAAAAAGACAACTTTGAGAGACAATTCTCTGTAGCAGCTGCTATACGGTACATAAACACAGAGAGAAAAAAAAGATAAAGTCATATTGATCTAATAAGGTGTAGAATGATTTTAATGTTGAATTACTCTCTTTTGAAATTAATATTTCAAATAAAAATGTGTCTTATCTCTAAAATATTAAAATGTGTTGTATAATTTCTCCCTTCAGTCTTATTTCTCTTCAGAGTTTAAACAGCCTTCAGCTTCCTTCAGCTTCCTTCCTTTTTTCTCTAACTCGTGAAGAAGAAATTTAAGGATCTTTGGTACGTTTTTCTAAAGACTTTAGAATGAAAGGAAACCAAGGGCAGCTAATGAAGACAAAGGAGCGGCACGTTGAACAGCTGCTGATGAACTATCAGACTGTGGTTGATGAAGTGACTCCTCTGCTGTCTGCTCTTCCCCCATCTTGCCCCCATCTCTCTAGGAAGATGTAGCATATTGGGAAAACAGTAGGGGCAGAAGAGAGCACATGCTGAGGAGAGACAACATGAGAAGTGGTAAGAAGAGGTTGAAGAATCAAATATTGAAGACAGAGTAGAAGAAAGGGAGGGGGTGAGTCATTCAGAGGGCAGATACTTTGATAGAAAAAAGCTTAGGGGGTTGGAAAGGGCAAGAAGAGGAAAAAGTGAAGGCTATTGCGTCATCAGTTAACTGAGAGTCTTTAGATGCCCGGGAGGACAGTGCTCTTGGCCAGTGCAAGGAAAGCAGTTGTGTGCAAGACAGAGGAATCTGTGTTTGTAAGACTGCAACTGATAAAACTATAAATCTTTGCATTAAAACGTAAAAATGTAAATGGTTAAATTTCATCAAGATTATTAGTCCATCCTTGTCTTAGGAATACACACAGAAAAGTTCTGAGCTGACATTCTGGTCAGGAGAACATTAAATAAAAATAAAAGGGGAGCAATTAAAGAAATCCCCAACTCAGATAGTTAAAAAAAGTATCAACATGATGACTATTGTAATAGTGTACTCCACAAATCTAGCTTTGATGGAAAACTGGCAAGAAGAAATCTGTTAAAAGACAGCCAAAGGAAGTTTATCCTGCAGTTTGCCAAGAGCCACATAAGGGAGACAGCATCTGTGTCAGAGACAGTCATCTGTTCACAAAATATAAATAGACATACAGTATTTGGCCGATATGCAAAACATTCACTCGTAGTGAAAAAATAACACTGTGCATCGACCTGAATACACCATCCCCATGATAAAGCATGTTGGTGCCAACATCATGTCTAGGGGATGCTTTGCTAGAGTAGGGACAGGAAAGCCGGTCAAAACCGATGGGAAAAAGCAGCGGAGAACAACTATTTGCAGGTTTTTCTACTTGCAAAGCATGTAGAAGTCTTTCATGTTTACAAAAAGTTATTTTTATCATACATACTCTTCCGTTGTGAGAGACATAATCTAATAAAAAACAAAACAAAAGTCATATTGCCTAATCTTAGGTAATTAATTTGCATTTTATTGCATTACATACATACCTAATAGTCTAACAGCCAGTATTTAAGCTGTAGTTGACCAGTTCGAGCCCTCATGTTCTCAACTTATTAGAATGTTTAAACTTGTTATCTATATAAAACGCACCAGTCCACAAACTCAATAAAACAAACTAACTTTTCTACAATGCTGCAGACCAGAGAGCAGTGTAAGGACAACAGTGATAAAATATTGGTTTAAAGTGAATGTTTATAATTAAAAATGTCTCCGGACCTTTACTGGTTGATGATTTTTTTGATTTGGACTTCGCTGATTTTTAATTGGTTACCCCTGATCTATATGGAGAAGTGGTCCACATTCCCTGCTGAATGTGTGTCAATCTAATCAAGAACAACAGTAAATGTTTGTAAGTGCGACCAAAGTGTACCAAATATTGTTTTTTTTTTACTCTGAAATATAAGATAAATATTTCATATAGTACATTGCAAAATCATTACCTCACATTTAATGTAATTAAAATGTGATTACCTTACAGTTGAAGAGTACCTATGACATAAATGTAGGACTTACACATGCTTTTCAAACAGCTACCTTTGTAGATGGAAAAACAAAAAAACATAATTTTTCTCCGACTTCTTAATTGTTTTTTTCTATTGGACACTTTAAATCACAATGATTAACAATAAAGGTTAAGGTTGTTACATCATAAAATGTAAGACATCAAAACAGATGCTTTTGCAAAAGCCCTGCAAATCTAGATAAAGTCTTCAGATACATTGCATATTTGTTTTATGTACTTGTGAGTGCAGGTATCCTACAGTGCTCGTGTGTCTCCTGCTTCTTTGTGATAAACGTTCCACCACTGCTCCCTCGCTCTCCTTCGTGCTGCACATTCTTTTCACCAGAAGCAAGGACGGGTAGCAGCCAACCTCACACTTATACACTTACCAACGTGCACTGATAATACCGTGTTGATGCTGCCCTTGTGTTTGAAGTTGAAATATTGTTCATTTGTCTATTGAATGCACAGCCAATTACTAAACAGGCTGAGGCTGGAGGATACCTGCAGGGGTGAAGGAAGCAAATGATCATGTATGCTATCAACTATTCTATCAAGGAGATAAAAACTTAGGAAAATGCACAGTTTGTAGGAAAAGCATTTACAAACAGTAAGAACTTGCCATTAACTAAAGAATGCACAAATAGGAACAATGAAGAATATTTAGGAAATAACCAGCAACAGAGTAAAACTGTTCTCACGCATTTCCCAAGCAAGTTTTGTTATATTACCAACTTCAGAATTAAAATGGCACTGTCATTTTTGCTTGGACAACTATGTGTGTCAATGGAATGGGAGCTTCAAGCAAGAGAATAAAAAGAATGCTTACAAAGAAGCAGAATTCAGAAGGACACTTGGATACAGAACCACAAATTGAAGTCAAAAATTGTTGTTGAATGAGGGGGAGGAAGCAGGAAAGACGAAAGGAGGAGGCAAGTGGGAGGAAAGTGAAACTGTTCAAAAGCGCTTCCCATTGCAAGAACCAAAGGAGAACAAAAGAATTCGAGGGCTGACAGAGACCCAGAGTTGGAAGGAAATCAGTGCTGGAGGAATAAACATGGAAGCCAAATCATGAACCCCTGACTGCTTCTGTGCCAGACTCACAGATGTAGCTGTTTGGCCAGGCACTGCGGCACATTCATCCCTCCCATATTGAAATGTTTACCAAACAAAAGTCTTGAACACTTCTAAAAAAAAAAAAATAATAAAAAAGGCTTTTTTAATTTGTTTTCTAATCCTTCATGTCAAGTTAGATGTTACAGTTACAGTTAGATAAACAGTATGTCACACTCGCAGGAAAAATCCAGGTTTAACAGTCTGAGAAGTCATCAATGTGTAACAATAAACCCAAATAGGGCTATTGTGATTGTCTGGATGTATGGTAATAACATACTGTTATAAAACCCTTTGAACAAAATAATCATTATGATGCAGAGCTGACTTCTTAATAAAGAATGTGTATGTAATTTCTTTCCACTGAAATGCAGAGCATGACATTTAAGTTTCTAAAGCTTGGCCTGTATGCCCTTCAGCCATTTATTGTGTTCAATACAGTCTAAATTTTACCTTCGGTTCATCTGTATTCTTTCTAACTGCACTGATCAATTGTTAAATGCATTGTTCATTATATACTTTCTTCTCCTGAATGCAAAACAGAAGTTATAGTCTCTTGACCAGAGTCTTTGAAAAATAAGCTGATTAGTCAGTCACTTCATTTGGATGGGATTAAACTGAGCTCAGATAATAAAGTAAAACATTTTTGTGTTAATTTTGATCAGAACTTGTCATTTAAATTCCATATCAAAGAGGTTACTAGAATTTCATTCTTTCATCTGCACAATATTGCAAAAATTAGAAAATCCTGTCCAGGGGTGATACTGACAAACCAGTCCATGCATTTGTTACTTCAAGGCTGGACTATTGAAATTCTTTACTATCAGGAAGTCCACAAACTGTAGTTTGCTGATCCAAAATGCTGCAGCCAGAGTTCTGATGAAAGTTTAAAAGAGAGATCATACCTCTCTTATCCTGGCTTCTCTTCATTGGATTCCTGTTAAATGCAGAATAGAATTTAAAATCCTCCTTCTCACATATAAAGCCTTAAATGGCTAAGCTCCATCTTACTCGGAGCTCATCTGCCTGGCTGCGTGTTTCCTGGACGGGGCCACCTTTTACAGCTACCTTTTGAATCTCTGCTTCTGTCTCCTTGAACCCCAGTCTGCGGTGGCAGATGGCCGCTCACACTGAGTCTGGTTCTGCTGGATGTTTATTCCTGTTAAAAGGAAGTTTTTCCTCTCCACTGTCGCTACAAGCATGCTTAGTGTGAGGGATTGCCTTTGAGTCAATGCAATCAACTGGTTTTCCTTAGATAAAAAACTTGGAATCAATTTGACTGTATGATCTGGGGAACTGTAAAGTGCATTGAGATGATGCATTGTGAATTGTTGCTATATAAATAAACTGAATTGAAACTGAATTGAATTATACACCCATTACTGGCAAATAGATTTGATGTTGTTGTACAAGGATTTCTGTGGATACTTAGAGGATCCAATCTTCTCTGCTGAAAGTGTGGATTCTAATGCACTTTAAATCTCAGTTGTCTAACACTGAACTTTATGAAGCGTTATCCAATAATTGGAAACACAGAGATGGGCCAGTAAGGAAATTAGCGAAGAAATAAACTGCTGGTAAAGAACCATGTTGCTCAGCAAACTTATTAAGCTGTGTTTACAAACTTTGATCATGTTAGCCGCCTGAATTGGGGGATATGTTTCTTTTGATGAAGTTTTGAAATGTAGACTGTTTCCCCCCCAACCAATACAAACTAGAGCAGTGCCATGAATAAAGTAGACAAAATCCTCATTTATCTGTTTATCTTTTGATTTTACAATCACCAATAAACAAAACAAAGAGGTCATTTAACTCCATCACCTGAGGCAGAGTGT